ATCCATTTCACAGAATCATAGAACTGTAATGGACCTTGAGAGGTCATCTAGTCCAGTCCCCTGCACTCAAGGCAGGACTGGGGATTATCAAGACAGTCTTTGGGAGGAAATGGCCTCTCCCCTTGCATACGTTCCATGAATGAGGCAAAGAATCTAGGGGCCTTTCAAAAGGATTTCATTTTTTCCAAGTAGCTTGCAAGAGCCCTATGCATGTCCAATGAGTGCCACCTCTCCACTGCTAGAATGAGGTTTAGGGTAAAATATTGGAAGAGGGATACTTTGGTTGATGTGCTAGTCTGACACCACCTTAGGGATGAACTTAGGCTGTAACCTCATAGATATCCTATCCCTGTGGGAAACTGTATGGGGAAGGGCCAGCCACAAGCATCCTTAGCTCCCCAATTCTTCTGACCAACATAACAGTGACCAAAAATATTAGCTTCACAGAAAGATGTAGTAGAGAGCGGGATGCCTGGGGCTCAAATGGAAACTAAGTGAGAACTGATAAAACAAGGTTCAAGTCCTGGAGTGGTACCAATTTTGCCAACACAGAGAAGACTTAAATCATGCCCTTCAGGAACTGGGCAGTGAGTGGGTGTGAAAAAACAGAGTAGGTGTCTACAGGGGGATGAAACACACTGACAGCCATCAGGTGTACTCCGAGGGAGCCAACAGATAGCCCCCAGGATTTTAAGGACCAAAGGCAGTCCAATATATCTGGAAACTTAGCCCGTAAAGGGGAAATTCCTTGTCGGTTAAACCCAAACATAAACCCATTCCACTCTGCTTCATAATATTTCTTGGTCATAGGTGCCAACTCCGTGGGTGCTCCGGGGCTGGAGCACCCACGGGGAAAAATTGGTGGGTGCTCTGCACCCACTGTCAGCTCCCCAGCCTGCCCCCACCCCAGCTCACCTCCACCTCCTCCCCTGAGTGCCCCACGGCCCCGCTTCTCCCCCTAGCTCCCAGCGCTGGCCGCCGGAAAACAGCTGTTTTGCGGCAGCCAGCACTGGGAGCTAGGAGGGGGAACGCAGCGCGCTCGGGGAAGAGGCGGGGCCAGGATGGGGATTTGGGGAAGGAGTCCAATGGGGCAGGGAGGGGGTGAAGTTGGGGCGGGGACTTTGGGGAAGGGGTAGGAATGGGAGCGGGGCAGGGGCAGAGGGGCGTTGAGCATCCACTGGCGCCGAGAAAAGTTGGTGCCTATGATCTTGGTAGCGTTCTTTCTACTGCTGTTCAGGATGCCCTTGACATTAATCGAACAGGGCCTCTCTAACTTGGCATCCATCCAAGTACCATACCCTCAGGTGAAGCATGGCTGGGTTGGGAGGGCAAGTCCATCCTTCATCCTGGGTTGTCTCTGATGACTACACTCGGTGGCTGCTCATACCACCTCCAAGTTGGGAGGTGGGTGGGAGAATAAGTACTCTGACCCTTTTGGCGGTATGAAATACCTTTTTCCAGCCCACTTGGACACTGACGGAATCAAGGCAGCCCTGGCATGTTTGAGGATGACATCATTAATAGGAAGCACCACTCCAATCGGACACGAGCCATGCAAAATGTCTGACAGCTTGTGTGGTACTTCCTGGACCTCTTCCAGGGGAATCTGAAGTGACCTTGACACTCTCTAGTCAGTCCTAGAAGGTCTTAGTATCCCCAGGGTTTGGCAGGGAAGTTGGAATCACCGCCTCACACAGGGAAAAAGAGGACAATGCCACAGGGATAGCCTTTCCTGCGCCTGTTGCTCTTCTTTCTCATGTTGCTGGAGTTGTGGCTCTAGAGTTGGTTGAGGAAGCTCCTCCTCTAACCTGGGAACCCCAGAACTTCTTTGATCCCTTGTGTCATGAGGTGGGTATACTGGGTGGTAGTCTCGTGGAACTTCCGGAATTGAGGTACTGCCACTGCGGGCTCTCATAACCCCTTGGCACTGAGCCCCAAGGTGCTGGGCACCAGTGGTAAAGGGTAGCAGATGTTCTCTAGTATGAGAGTTCTGAGACTCTCTGGAGACTCCCAATGTTTCTGTCTGGGATGAATCTTCTCCCTGGGGCATAGTCTGGGTCTAGATGTATGCCATAGTCCTCTTCCAACTCAGAAGATTCTGATCCCAGGGAGTGGGGAGGGTCCTTTGGTACCAGAAGGAGCAGTGATGACCTGCCTCTACTTGCTGATGGTACTGGAGACAGTCTGGCTCGATTCCTACCTGTGGAAAGAGATGGAGAGGAGTACCTTCGAAATATCAGTGCCAGCTGGGGTCCCAGGGTCAGGCAATGAGGCCTGGAGAAGAGTGATGACTCCAGGTCCAGGAGCAACAGAAGGTCTTCCAGAGCTGAGAAGCGAACCAGAGAAGATGGAGACATCTCCACAGCTCAGATCACTGAAGAGTGCACCAGATCCAGCGGCACTGAAGAGGGATTTGGTGCTGAAGAAGCAGTCCCAGTACCAGACAGTGCTGCAATTTTGGCCTTCAAAGAAGTCCTGGTCCAGTCCTTTCTAGTACTGGACAGTCCCACTCTGGAGAATGAAGCTCCTAATGACTTGGTATGGGATAGGGGACTCCTGCCTCTTGTTAGAGGGCTTGAACAGGGAACCGTCCCTCTTGTTCTTTTGGAAGCATTTATACCTCCCTTCCCCATCTGCCCTGGCTCTGATCTCCAGAGTCTCTCTGAGCCAGAGGTGGGACGAAAGTCTTGAAGCCACCCAGAACCAAAGAAGAAGAGTAGGCACTCCTACCTTCTTCAGGATGACGTATCGGGGAGGGGAGTCTCCCCAGTCAGAAGTTGTTCCCACTTTCATGGTTTCTTCTATGAGGGACTTTCAGAGCCAAAACTCCCTGGACTGCGTAGTTCTATTTGGGAAGGACCTGCAGATACTGCGTGTCCCCCAGGTAGTACAGACAGGCATCGTGGTAGTCTGTGACTGGGAAGAGCTTGTGGCATGCATCGCAACTCACTCCCCGCAACCGTTGGAGGGTTAGGCTGGAAGGCGTGCAGCAACAGCTTCCCCTCCACAAGGGGGGTTCCAAATAAGGAACCGAACCCCGAAACCAGGGGTAGTCAATAGGCAGATCGTGGGCCAAATCTGGACCGCCAGATGCTTTTGAATGAATCCCAAAATCTATTTACTTACTTATTATTGTTGATTTTTTTATTATTATTTTCTCTGGAGTCTGGACCTTGACAATAAATAATTGACTATCTCTGCCATAAGCTATCCCCTAACTAACCATACTATTGAGCTAGCTAATTAAGAAGTTTTAAAAAACATTAAAAAAATATTCATAGAAAAGCTGAAGTCAGCACAAGCACTGAAGCTCCATCTTAGAACGCGAGTGGTAAGAAGGAACAAAGATAACAGTCCGGCAGCCCCCTTTCTTCCTTTGGTGCAGAGCATGAGAAGAGGACAGGGCAGATGTGCAGACCACATGGACACTGATAAGGGAAAATCTCCAGTCCTTAGCGCATGGAGTACATATGCAACATGAAGTGCACCACACATAGGGACAATCACTTGAAGAACCACCACACACCCTCTAATCCTTACTGGCCATTTGATCAACCTATAACCTCTGGCCCAACCGTGTTCAGATCAGCAAGAGCTGGGAATTCGGGGGACACAGGGAATATAATGTCATAAACTCAGCTGCTAATATGAAAATAAGCAAAGAAGAGAAACGGCCCTGCAAAACCATTCCAAAGCCAAGAACGGAATAGCCACAAACAGGGACTTTTCTTTCTTACCAAAAGGAAGGTAAGCCCCTCTTTTTAAGCAGGGGCTCTACAGGGGTTTAAGGCCGGGGGGGGGGGGGGGAAGAGAGAGACAAGAGAAACCTAGGATTCAATGGAAATGCAGAGGAAAGGGAATTCCCCGTTTAT